AATTCGCATGTGTGTACCAAATGCTTCAAAATTCTTGCTGAGAGCTACAACTTCCGCCCACCAAACCAACATTGCATTTGTTGGAGGGAATACTACCATTTAAATGCTCATCGGTTTTTCACAGTTTTCTCAAAAGACAGTGAAGTCTTTGAAGTGATGCCCGCAATCGTCGTCAAAAAGGTGGCCCTAGTTAAATCAGTCGAGACGGGGCTGCACCAGTCTTGTGCTGAAATGGTAGGACACCTTAGCAGTGACTGACGTTCTCACCCTTTGGTTGACAGAAGCCTTGTAACCCAACTGTGTAAGCCTGTTACTCAGTAAATTCACAAATAATTTGGAAGAAATAAGACGTTGTCAGTGTGCTTAGTATTACTTTTCTTTGTTCAATGTAATTTCCGATTTATCTTGACCTTCATCGCCTCTCATTTGCACACAAAAGTTGAATTTGTGCTTATTATGTAATTCTTTTTTATTCAGAGGATGTCTTGGTTGATAAATGGCGCGCGCTCTACGAACGTTTTAATGATGAGCTGGTGAAAACAAGGAAGGGAGAATCGAGCAATTGGGAGTTTTATCAGCGCATGGTCTTTCTCTCACCAGAGGTTTTATCTGCTTGTAGGTTCGACGATCTGAATGGAGGTAAATAATGTTTTTCTGGTGCTAATTGTAGAATAATATGGATGAACATTTAAGGTACTCAACAACCAGTGGTCATGTCAAGTGTTGCAAAGGCTGTTGATGCGAATATTCGTAAAATTTTAGGCTATGTGTAAGTAATTGGCACGTTGACGACAGCGTGAGGCGCATGCGCGTCGCTTTTTTGAGGCTTTGTGGGACAGCGCGAGGCGCATGCGTCTCGCACTTATATCTTATATTTTTGCCTATGCGCTACTTATTTGCTGATTTCTTCTATGTACTATAGATCACCCCTTGACATAACTATAGACGACGTGGCGCACGGAGTGGACAGGTATGCTCCATTTCACTAAAGATTTTTTGAGCCTTACCAAATTTTGAATTGTGTTTATTTTCCGTTATCTTTTGGTTTTTATGAACATGTAAATAAAAAGTGTAGTAGAAGTAAATACGAAACTATGGGTAGTAGTATATGTTTTTATTGGAACAGCCGTAAAAATGCTGTAGATCGAAGTTCACAAATTTCGTTTTTTATTGTCGTTACATCTCCTTTTGGTCAACTTCTCTCATAGAATCACTGGATAACCTGACTACTACGCACATAGATTGCTTATATTATCTTGTGCCACTCACATTTCATGTACTTATTTCTCGTCAGTATCTGAGGTGGGACAACCGCGCTCGCAGAATCGCGCTGGTCCTACGCCTCCAAAAGCAAAAATGCGCGCTGTCGTCAACTCATTGAAATTCATGGTGTTGCTGTGAGATTCAAAGGATTTCTGCGACCGATTACTTTTTTGTTAAGGCCCAAGTCAGTACATGAGGAGATGGACACCCCTCAAGTCAAAAGACCCAAAGTTGCTCCAAAGACGAGCACCCCAAAGCCTGCTGCTCATTGGGACACTTCTTCTCACGTGCAACAGGTTTGTCATTTTTTTCGCGATATAACCCTTGGAATTGAATTCGATCAAGATCTGTGTAATAGGTTTATGATTTATGATTTATTATCGGATATCCTTCTACAATAAGTGGCAAAACAAATACAAAGCAAATTTCCGATAAGTAAGAAGAAAAGAAAATGAAAGGAAAAACCATCAAATAAGGGGATATGGGGAAGGGAGTGGATAGTCGAGCGCAGAAGGGCAGTGGCCGCCAACACTGCAAGCTCCTGAGTGGCGAATGAGAGCTCCGGATACCAGCTTAGTAGGTCCGCCAACTATTGCCAAGATCCGACTCCCAGAAGTCTCAAAAGGGAAACGACTGACCAACAGAGAAGCAAACCAAGTAACACACAAAAGGAAATTAGAACAAAATTACGGCCAGCAAAAGGTTGGGTCAAAGGCAACGAAACGAAATTTTCTTCACAACTAGTTCTGTTTAAGTTCTCTAAGAATTGCAAGTATTGGAAAATCACACACTCAATGAGGGTCTATATGAAAGAGTATCAAAACTCAACCCTATTTGAAACCAAATAGTTACTTTGCTCAGTTAATGCACACAACTGAACACTTGAAGAGCACCTTCCATTTCTTTGGAAACATCATAAATAAGCCTTCTAACATCGAGGACGCATCAGAAGATTCCCACAAGAACCATAATGCGCGGTTCAAAGTCTCGGGGTCCTCGATGCGCAGTGGGCCGTTACGGACGCTAATCTGAAACGCTGCTTTGAGAGATCTTAGCAAAGCCTAAAGTTGGCTGAAGCTATCCTCATATGACCTACCTGAGACATCATTACTATTCCTCCTTCAATGTAACCGGCAAGAGCACGCTGGTGCAGACCATACACTACAAGTAACGACGGCCTCAAGTAAATCTGGTTCGTAGTGGTTCATAGTGATAGCTGATTTTTGGTAAATGATAGTTGTAATTAGTGACAACTGATAGAATACAACTGCAACAGGCTAATCATTTCATTGGCAGAAAACATTTACATTTTGTGGAGGCCGTCGTCACTTGTGGTGTATGGTCTGCTCCCGACGCTCTTCTCGTTTTTGAAAGCAAGTATAGCAGCTTCAGGCTGGAGCAATTACGGTAGGCCTCCTTGAGCTCGACGGCGATGGCAGATGACGTCATATTCTGAAGACGGTGAGGGCAGTGAAGGAGGGCCTGCTTCTGCTTATGAGGAGACATTAAAGAGCACTTTGCTGTAAAACTTAACCTTTCGGACTTGGATTTTTCGTGGAAAATTTTTCTTGCTATCGTTCATTATTTGAGAGTGCATAACTAATATTATAGCGAAATTTGAAAGCTATCCGATCGCAAACTACGACGTTGATTTTTTAAGAGAAAAACCAAACTTTACTAGCTGCTAGATTTAGGTTGGCTTTTGCACCTCCAAGTTTGAAAACTTGGTTGATTGAGAGTGGAAGGGCTTGGTAGCCCAATGTTTTTTCACCACACATGAGCAGTTCGGTGTCGATTCCTTTTTGGAGTTGGCCACCTCTTTGTCTCCATTGCAAGCGGTCACTTAAAGCAGAAATCAAATCATCTGTTACTGCATTGCCTACCAGTTCTTTCAAGGATAAGGTATCAAAGACGTGCATTTTTCTATGGACGTGGTAGTTGAATTCATGGCTCATTTTGATGGAGTTCATAATACTGTCATTCATTTGCTCAATATTTTTAACTATTGAAATGATTTCTTCTACAGGTCGTATCCACATGGGTTCCACCTCGTGAAGATTCTGTCGAAGCTGTGACACAACCGTTCTCGTCTGCTCCACCTACAGCTACGGCGCAAATCACGGTATGCACACCACTGCATTTATTTTTCACGGTCTCAAAAAACACTTCAACTGGCAGTTTTCTGACTTTCGGACTTTTGTTCTGTGCATTTTCATTTGCAGTCCTAGAAAGCAATTGAGCCAGCTTTTGTACGTAGAGTCATCCTTCACTTTACGCAGGGATTTGAGATTCGGAGATTCTGAGCATTGTCTGTTCAACTAGTTTACCCTTCCCGGTGACTGTGAAAATCCTTCAGTAGAAAATAATGGCTACTGTAATGAAATCGATGCCAAATAAATCGTATACATGCTGCGGGCTCGCAATTGTAACGAATTTGACGCATAGCACTTTCACATCACGGTTTTGGGAAATTCCACATCCACATGTTTTGGGAAATTTAGAATAGCGAAGTGTGCTATAATAAAAAATGACATCAAAACGGAACGGGACATTAAGTGCTGCAACCTTATGACCATATCCGTGTTAGCATTTCCTTCAGACGTAACTCTAAGGGGGAGAAGAAGACGGCCCCTTGCCCGCATGACACCGCTCAGAACTGCATCTCATACTTTTCGAGGAGCAGCTGTTAGTATCCATTCAAACTGTGTTGTTTCGCGCACTCTTTCATCTTCAATATCGACCACAATGAATAATTCGCTACATTTTAGTGAGATATTTTGGCTGGCCAGTGTTTGGGCAGCCCAGGTTGGACCAAGTGGAGCTCTGGCAGCGCACGATCGCACCAAAATTTCACTCCAGTACCCGGCATACCCTTTGCTGGCATTTCTCTTGTATGAGTAGCAAATGTGGCGGGAGCTTTCTCCAAAGTATTAGCCTATCATCTTCCAGCGCGCATCAAGGCAAAAAAGCCACTTCTTCTGCGCCACTTGGGCTTTTGAAGTTTCAGGTCAAGTCTTCCACTAAATTAGTTTTTTTTTGTCGAATTCAATCAGTTAGACACAGTCGGCAGCAATTAAATTCTGTTAGTTTGCTTTGCATTCAGTTCTTGCCCAATGTTTTTCTTGATTTACTCAATTCAACTGCAGTAGAAATAAGGCTGACAGTAGCGACAACTGGCGAAAATGACATGGCGAGTACGCGAGACCACAAACTACAACTTCTCTTCTGCCAGACGAAAAGTGTAGCTCAGTTTAGGTTGACCAGCGCGACCGTTCTCAGAGGCATTTCGGCATTTCATGCTTTTTTAGCCTGGGAAAATATGTTGGGTTGCCCTCAGCTAAACAACAATGGAAGAACGCCAGTATCTTTTCTCAGGCCAAGCATTCTTCATCGACGAACATCTTAAAATCTGCAGCAAAGCATGAAAATTTCGTCAAAGGAATTGCAAACTGCGAGTTGCGAAGTCTTCCTCAAGAGGGGGAAACTTTCTACGCTATGCATCTGAAGTCATGATGTAACTCGCAAAACACGATGTGAAGGTCTAACAAGTGGGGTCCTTGAGGGCACGCCACGCTTTTTGAAACGGATTTCTTGCATATTGTAGGGACGCATACAGGAAACATGAAGCCATGTTTCATTTTCGCTGAACGGTTATAGCAGTACCAAAAAAGAAGCATAAGGTACTGTTAAGGGTTCGATCCCCCGTGGCGACTAAATTTTGCATTTGGGTTGGCGCCTACGGTTTGGTGCCAAATCGCGCTAAATATCAAAATCAGATGTCAATTCATCGTCAGGACCATTTTGAAGCCAACAAGTGGCCGCCAACCTTGATTGCAAAATTTAGTCGCCGCGGGGATCGAACCATCAAGGGTATCATTCACCACTTTTTTGGTACTACTAAAACCGTTCAGCGAAAACGAAACATGGTTTTGTGGTCCATACATGCGTCCCTACAATATGCAAGAAACCGTTTCCAAAAAGCGCGGCTTGCCCTGAAAGACCTCCCTTGTAAGGGTCGAATTAACACTGGAATGGAATTCGGGGGGGGGGGGGGACATGCCATTTATTTCACGTCAGCTGGTTTACGTTAACCCATGTGTTATGTGCTGAAGTTAGACTCTTGTTTTTTCTTCGAAATAAACTGATTTCACTAGCCATGCAGAAAACTTAAGAAGACAAGTAAAATTTCATCTTTATTTCATCTTGCAGTCTTTTGGACAAAAATCTGCTCAGAAATATAAGAAGTCGGGCGAGACTGCACTGCAGAAGACATCCTCCCCTGTAAGTGGCCGCTTTCCGCCTTTTCAAAAGTTTGTTCAAATCAGATTCATTTGTTTTGTGTAGGTATTGAGAAGTGAAGCTATCGCTCCGAAGCTTCACCTTTTTGTTCGAGCGTTACCCCGTAATTATTTTCATTGTTCTATGTAGCATGGATTCACAGTCGGAGCAGATGTTGGAGTTGTTCAGTTTCCTGCAGTCGGCGTGCTATTAGAAATTTAACCAAGGAGAAATAAAAAGGGGATGCGAACGATATTGAAGGCTTTGTAATAGGTGGTAGGCTTCCAAGCATTGGTCTGTCTAGGCCGCTATTCATCAAAAATCCATTTTGTTGGCAGATCTATAAAAATATTCGGGAAATATTCCAAATGCTTGTCGAGATGGTACCACAGTATAATCTCTATAACATTTATACAACCTTTTTAAGAATGTTTGAGCTACACAAAGTAACGTATTTTCGCGTGAACTTATTTGCGCGCTTTGTGACTTTCGAAATTACTCCACCGTCATCAAGGAATATGAGAGAGACTCTGTAGAACCTGACTAAAAGCTCTTGAATAAAAAGAAGATTCAATCAAAAAATTTCCATTTATATCAAATTGCATTCAGGCCACCGCCGAAATTGGTCATATTCTGAGAAGCGAAGTGGATACGCTACGTCTATCGTCTCCTCGTCCTTGCATAAATGGTTCCAAGTACGGAGATTATGTTTCTGATCATTCACTTCGAGTTCATGAGGACAAGTGGACTTTGATGGGTGAGTTGAATGTTTCGATGATTTGCGACTTCTTTTCTACCAAAAGACGCTTCATACCTGAGGCCAGTTAAATTACTTTGACTTCAAAGGGGTTAACTTCATGTTTGTCTAAATATTCTGATCAAAACCATGCATCATAATTCATTATTGGTGCTGGCGCTGTAGGATCACTAAATCCTTATAGTCCCTAATTTCCACCTTCTTATCTCGTTATTCATTTTCTAGCTTCTTCATACTAATTATT